TAGGGAGTTTCGCAAAACTAATAATAAAAAAAAAAAATGAATAAGGAAAATAAGGTTTTGAGTTCCTTGGCATTTTCAATGTTAAACAAAACTATTGGTTGCTTTCCAGTGGTCTACAGTGTTTTCCAAGGTAGACTGAACTTTAATTTCTAATATAACCAAACAAGCAGGGAAGAAAGCATCAACCATTTCCTCCTCCTGCCCCATCAGACTTTCTTCAGATATCACACACAAGAAAGCACAAGCCTGTATTTTCCCCTGTGGGTCACTTTTAAAGCATTTCACTTACTATACAGACTGCAGCCTCCAGATGCTTCTGGCTGCAACATTTGATTCCTCTAAAGACATGACAGACTTCACGATCCCCCAAATACATCCTTATCTCAACAAAAGGGGAATTTCCCTTGCACGATTTGCTGCCACTGGCCTGACAATATGCTTCTTTGTTTGCAACCATCGCATTTAATGTTTTGTTGCAATATGAGCAGGAGTTATTTTCTGCCAGTGACTAAAACCTCTCCATAGACTGGGCTCTCCCAGGAATCTCAGCTCAGCCAATTTGGGGTGGGGAAAAAAAAAAAAAAAAAGGACTTTGTGGAAAATAAAGTTGGTAGACCTAAAATTAGAACTGGCTGCATACGGCATCGAGTAGTGGTTCTCAACTTTTTTAGATTCAGGGGATCCCTCAGAAAATATCAGCTCTTAGCTTTCACTCGGTTTTTGACTAAGGAATAACTGAGCAAATTCTTCTGTTAGAAAGACCTTGGAAAGACTAACAGGCCAGCACATTTCTAGCATTACAGATTCCTATTTGAAACCTCTTGCGTTTACCTTGTGAATCATGTGTTGTGTTGTGTGGCACCCCGCAACACCCTTAAAAGGATCTCTCAGCACCCTGGTTGAGCATCACTGGGATAGAGTCAATAGCTAGCCTGAGATTTAGCTCTCCCCGCTCTATTTGGTTGTGTAACATAGTGCCTAAGTACGCAGCAATTATGCGAGAGAAGCCCATTACATACAAAGCAGCATGGCCTACAGGAACTTGCCTGGCACACGAGACCCAGATTCTGTTTCTCGCTCTGCCACTGACTTGCTGAGTGCCCATAGGCAAGTCATCTAGCTCCTGGTTCAGTGTTGCTTCCTCAGCCTCTGGCTGCTGAGATTACAAGCTCTTCAGGGTAGTGTAGGCTGCAAGCCCATACCATCAGGTATTTGATACGTTAGATATTAGGAAGGATTTTCTCACTGGGAGGATACTAAAATGCTGGAACAGGTTACCCAGAGAGATGGTGGCATCTCCATCCTTGGAGGTGTTCAAAACCTGGCTAGACAAAGCTTTGGCTGGGATGAACTAGTTGGGGATGGTCCTACTTTGAGCAGGGCATTGGACTAGATGACCTCCGAGGTCCCTTTCAACCCCTAACTTTCTATGAGTCTAGAATTTACAATCAGCTTAAACATCTGCATTTGATGAACTGAGCGTGTGCTAATTTCCCTCTGTCCTCACCACCCACTTCAAGAGGGAAAGATGGCTGACTCACCTATAAAATGGGCAAAGCGATGCATGCACTGCATTTGGTCTCTTGGAGCCCTTCCAACACATGTAGATCCCAGCAAGCTCCTTCACAGTCTCCAGTGTCTTGCGTTCACAAGGATGAGATTCAATCTTACAACCTGTTGCAAAGGGCACATCCATGTAAGAAAACCACACAACTCAGATGCCTCCATATGAAACTGGCTGCAGACAACAGCTTGAACAACTGGGGCATGCTTCAAACAGAAGCAAGGCCGGTTTTACATGATCTCTCTAACTAAGGGCTTCAAGAAGCTTTAATGTGATTTTATCTATCCTCACAAAGCTGTAGTTAAATAGGGAGAGGCTAGTAATTTTGTTTTCGTATGGGGAACTAAGACCCCCATGTAGAGGTATCCGAGGGTACTGGAAGCAGCACAGGCAAAGTTACTCTATTTCTCAAGGGCAGTGCTGGCTTGGGAACGTCTAGCATAGATATCCATAAGTTACCCATGCAAAAGCACACACAGCAGGTTCACGATAGAAAAAGGACTCGAACATCTCCGGAGTCCTAGGGTACTGCCAGAATCACTGCACCATCCTTGCTTGCATGTAGGTGTGGGTTTTTAGACAGGCCACATGTTTGCATTAGCACACATCAGGATACTACAAAACCAGCTTTCGACTCATGCTAACCTCAGTCTCCATTTGTTTTGCAGGGAAGCTCTCAGTGAAAAGGGCAGAATCTGCCACAGGGTGAGATGCCTCAGAAGGGCAAGTGTCAGGGAGATGGTCAGGAAGCAAAAGGTAGCAGTCATTAGTAAGTATGTGCCAGGGTGGCTTCTGAGATACCTGGAGATACTGCGCTGCAGATGGTGGAGCTGGTAAGGGTGCTGTAAAGGCCATTGGTGGCATCGTCCACATGCTCAGCAAACAGCACATGCTGTTCGGTCGGTTCACTGGCCAACACGTGCAGCTCCTCCCACCTGTGAGAGCGATGGCATGGCCGATTAGGACTGCAGAGCTTTACCGAACAGCCAGTCTTTCAGTCATCACAGAAGACAAGAGCAGAAACCCCACCCAAAGCCATGAGCACTAATGTCTAGAAACATGCAAAGCAACTTTCAAGATCCTGGTACACGGACTCGCCAAAAGACACCTGTTCCTGCAAAGAACTGCTCTCGCCATCTCGCCCCCTGTCTGGTCCTTCTCATGCCAAGTCACTTCCCACTATCCAGGTGTCTTGTTCTTCAAAACATGCTTCTGATACCTCTCATTGATGGTCCATCCCCCACCAGTCCCTGTTCAGGTGATAACAGGCACATCTACCCAGCATTCCTGGCATTTCTGAGGATGCCACACTAGACAGCGTGGTCTTACCCTCCTGCTGCCACTCACATGCACCAAACTCAGAAATGTGGCACTGAAGACACTCCATGGGCTGACACCGCCCCACACCTGGCCCTCTCATCTCTGGAGCACGGGCCACAACATACCTCCACCACTGCATCTCCAGGGATGTGTTCATTGATGGCAGCCTCGAGAGGGTCAAGGATGCAGTGTAAACATGCCCTTAGATGCCAAAAGCAATGGTTATTCCACTAGCAGCGATCATTGCTACTTCTGCAAGATAGTTTCCTACCTTGGAAACTTGACTCCTATGGCAAACACCATGATCCCCCTTTCCTTCACCTGCTTAGCAGGGATTGCTATGGTGCCCTGTGATTTTCCATCCGAAAGGATGATCAGGATTTCAGGGACGGAGGAATTTCTGCCACCAGGGAAACCTTTCCGGAGAATGTATTTCAGTGCGAGACCTGTCTCTGTGTTCCCACCTCTGAAAGGAAGTGAGAAAATTGGGAGAGGAGAAGTTAGACCTTCTTCAGCGCTTGTCCAACTCCTTTTTAATTTCCCTTCCTTACCCATACGCCCAGGACTGCAGAGTCTACCTTTCATGGTAGAAGTGAGTTTCAAGTATTTCTGCAGTTACCCTCATTGCTTAGCCAGGCCAGTGTTATTTTTCCAGTCCTCCCCACCCTCCTGCATTTAGTTCACAACTGGACTTCCTTTTCTTCTTCCTCTTGACCGCACGGGTGCACGGCTGTTTGGAGAAGAACGCCCCGAGGCGCTCTACAAGGACGGCTGTTTTCCCAGCAAAAGACTGATGGCAACTCATGTACTTGAAGAGAAGGACAGACCACAGCACTTGGCATGGTCCAGTAACGAGAATGCAGAGCAGGAACTCGGGAAACGTCCCTTCCATTCCCATCTCACGGTGCCAAGCAAACCGTTGGACTATGGGTGCCCGATTCCCCATCTCTTACCCAAATAAGAACTGTGCGGAAGATCTGGTTAGCAATGAAACCTTCATTTCCCAGGCCTCTCATGCTTATGAAAATATAGGCAAGATTCAAGTCTTCCAAATGTCTCTCTTTCTAGCGAGGTATAAAATGTCACCCCAACCCAGAGTGACACCTTTGGTAACAGAACTGGCATTCATTTTTGAGCACCAAAGGGAAGGAGTCAACGCATGGCAATTCCTAGCTTGTTTTAGCGAATGCTCCAGCCTGCAATGCGGCAGTGCCCAGAAGGCACTGTCCCTCCTTTCCCTTGTTAATCTTTGCTCAATTTAATTTCCTACAAAATTCGGCAATTGTTCCTCTGCAGTAAGGCCCCCACAAATGCAAATACCAAGGACTTCTTAGTGTAGCCCTGGAAACTGGCAAGGGAAGAATACAAGGAAGTCTTTCTTCAGCGTCCCTAGAATAATTCCCCTGTTAATGACAAGCAAACCAAGACAGATTTGCAAAGAGCAGATCACCTGGTGGCCCCACTTTCAAAATTAAACCAATGTCAGCCCCTCGCAATACCAGCTTGCACAGCAGATGGAAAAAAGCAGTTAAAAACCAATTCCCATGTCTTTTAGTTTGTTCCCCAACAGCTGTATGAGATGGGTCAAAGCTAGAATAAGCGCTCTGGGTATTGATAGGCAAATAAGCAGTACCAAGCATCTCACATTTGGGTTTGGTCTTCAGTTAACCGGCTATTGCCTCAGGAACTCTTCAGTCGGGGGAGGCGATCACCCAGACTAAGCAAAGCCATTTTAAAATTGAATTATTAGTCACATCTTGTGTGTCCCTGACACTGAAATAAGCAGGTCAAACTGTCATGCTCACTTTATTTGCAAAGCAACGTCCAGAGGCCTTTGGGGTACCTGGGATCCTATTATGCTAGGCGCTGTATGAACTTTTGGTAAGGGACAGTCTCTGCCTGGAAGACCCTAAACCCCATGTAGACAACACGGAGAGCAGCAAAAGGAGAGGGTTACCATCCACACTGTACAGATGGGAAAGTGAGGCAGGAAGGGATTAAGAGCCAGATTTCCAAAGTGCTGGGAGTAGCGAAGTGCTCAACTGAGCTCTTCCGAAAATTTGCATCTCCATACAGCCCGCTGGAAGCAGGCTGTTGTTGGGATACTTGCAGGAGAGCACAGCTCATTTGAAAATCTGGACCTACTAGGGGGGCTGAGAGTTGGGGGTGGGGGGATTAGACCCTGAGCTTGAAACTTGGGCAAGTTGCATGGCATTCCAGGTTAGAAAAGTGGATCTGGGACCTGAACCCACATTTTACTTCAATGCCTCGGCCACAAAGCCGTTCTCCCTCTCTTGTGCCCTCTGCCAAATGTAAAGGATGTTTCCATCAATGCGGCTCTTGGAGATGGCTCTTTGCTGCAAATGCAACTACCCAACTATTCTGACAATGGTAGAACTATGAGTCCGACACGGAAATGCATCCTGGGCATGCAGATCCCCGCAAACAACAGAAGCCGTACCAACGCTGGGGAGCCAAGGTAAAGCACATCCTACCAGCGCCATCAATTACTGCATGACGGGGCCATCGTCCCACGTTAGGAAGCGGCAAACTTCAAGCCTTACAGCTACTCACGGGGAAAAAAAATATATGTTGGCACCCTTAGAAACTGCTGAATACAACCAAAACAGATAACAAGCCATCCTCTCCACCTTTCTTCCCTGGCGGGGGTAAGGGAATTATTTCTACGAGTTATGCCAGAGGCAAGGATGTATGTGAGGGATAACTGTTATGGACCAATTGCATGCTTGAGATAGATTTAGACAAGCTTTCAAGTGCAAGACGCTCTTCTGAGCTCTAGAAATTACAAAGCTTCATTTCTACCGGCTTACCCAACAATACACGTTGCTGGATACTGAGCTTGCTAATCTCAGCATGAACCTATACAAGTACAACCAACTTTCTGGGCTGGTGTGTTACAAATCAAAGGCCACCCCTCCTCGGGTGTGCTCCCGTCCCCCAGAGGTGTACCAGATAGGCTTTGTGCACCGGGGTGCTGGACTGGAGGGGGGGGGCGGTTGACCACAGCTCTGCGGAGCAGAGTAATAGCAGGATGCAGCTACAAGAGGAAGCATCACCGCCAAGAGCCAAGTTAACCTTCCCTGGCCTCACAATTGCTGCGGTTTTACATGATAAGCGAAGAGCAAAAGCCCTTCAATTCATCAGTGGCTGCAGGGCGAGGAAGGGGGTAACCTGGCTTTTGGTGGTGACATCTGACACCACCTTCTCTTGCAACAGGGTCTCGTTTCATGTGGCCAGAGGACTGAGTCCTCCCTGCCCCTAACTCCAGGACCTCCATTTTCTGACTGCCTGGGACTTGTGCCCCACACAGCAGAGACCCGCGGCGCTTGTGGCAAGTGCCACGGGCTGGCCACCCCTGACATACTCCATGCCTGGAGGAGGCTAAAGCTTTGACTCTATGTACTACCCAAAATGCAACCTCCCTATTAGACCACTGCAAAAATCTAGGGCAAGCTGTCCTCCAGGCTCAGCGGTGACTGAGAGCAGCCCTGTCCTCTTACCCTTCTGCATTTATATACACACTTATTTTTAAAGGTTTAAGCATTTCACTTCCAAGGACTATATCCAAAATAGACACCAGTCCCTCCTCTCTTGCTATCTCTGTACATGACCCAAGACAGACATTGTGAAACATGCCATCCTCCATTGAGCACTTGATATCAGAGTAGGCCCAGCCCATGGCAATCACTCTTCCAGGGCTTTTGCTAATAAGCCTCTAGATCTGAGGAGACATTTCCATCTGTTTTCTAATCCTGGATGGGGAGATTTTAATATAAATCATCTCCTAAAACTGCGTTGTAGCTTTGCTTTTATTTCAGTCCAAAAGACCCAAACTGCACGTCTTTTTTTTTTTTTTTTGAGGCATAACAGTTTCTCTGTTGCATACAAAATCTCCTTCTGCTTCTCACTCTTCTTTTGTTTGTTTTAATGATCCTCTATTTTACAAGCACATTTTCATGATGTAGCAGGCATTAAATCAGATGCATGCCCAGGGCAGTTTCCTTTCCTTCATTCTGCCACATACTTTTTCATACCATTTTTTTTTTTTCAGTCCCCTTTCTTTGATCTTCTCCCTCTCTATTTATACTATTGAAAACTAAACCTTGGGAACATATCTAACCTTGCCAGCACTCTTGTTTTCTCTGGCTGGAAGAAGCTTGCTAGTTTATTTCAATCCCCAACTATGTGGAATCTCCTTTTCTTCACCAAAACAGCAGAACAACTGTTTTTGCTTGCCACAGAGGGCAGGCCACGCAACAGTGGTTTGGAGCGGTAAGATAGCTGTTTTAAATACATCTTAGTACAAACTTTCTCGGCATCAGAACCAGAGGACAATGGAGTTCCCTGGAGAAGTTGTGAAATCTCCTTCACTGGAGATGTCCAAGAAAGAGTTAAATAGGCATCTACCTGGGCAACGTAGGAATACAGCGCATCCTGCTTCTGGGCAGGGAGTTGGACTTGATGACCCCTGAGGTCCAGTCCAACCCTACAAGAGCCATCCCCATGTCTAACAAGTTCTCCCATAAGCCCCACGCTCTAGATTGATAGCAATAATCTGCTGAGGCCCTTGAATTAAGCCCGTTACTGTGGCTGAAGATGCTACAAACAGTCCTTTATAAATAAAGTAGTAGGAGCCCACCACTGGGGATGCTGGGACAGATTCTCAGCTGGTGCAAATTGAAACCATGCTATTAAAGTCCATTGGCAGCCCCTGCGCAGGGTGTGACCCAGGGCTCAGATTCAGTAGCTCACCTCACAACAGGGAGGTCTGAGGCAGGGATTAAATTCAACAGCCTGTATTATGGAGGCAGTTCAGACTAGATGATTATAACGGTACCTTTGGGCCTTAAATTCTAATCGTCACATTTCCTCTGTGGGCTATGGGAGGATTGTACACGTAAAGTATATGTACACGTAAAGTAAATGTAACCCACATGAAGAAAGAGGTGAAGATATACAATATCTATCCAGCTTTTCAGCAACCTCATCTATGTGAGCCCAGGAGAAAGAAAGAGTTAAAAATCAGAGAGTTTCAAGTCACTGCCGGTCAAAGCTGTGATCCCAAAACGTAATATAATTTGGGGAACCTCTTCCCAGCAGGAAAGAAATCCATAGGATCACCCAGAAGCCTCTCAACCGGGATTAGGGTCACATTTGGCAAGCTGGTAGCTGGAATCTGTCTATAATTATTTTCAGGCATCCATTTCTATATTTCAACCTTTCATCTACAACTGGCATAAATGGCATTTACATCTGTTAAATCTATCAATGTTCATCTGTCGTCATTAAGGATGTCGCAGCGTTAAGCCAAATTCCGGACATCCAATACGGTTTCATTTTCTCTGCTCGTAATGGGTTTTGAAACAATAGTCAAAGAGGACCTGTGTATCTTTGTTCCTAGACCTCCCTTAGCAATAAGAGGTTTTCTAGAATGGAGAGTTAAGCTGTTATCTATAAATACAAGGCCTTGCTTGAAGAAGTTGAAAGCAACCTTAAGTTTGTTCGCAAACATATTCAACCATAAATATTACCATAGAAGCTTTTACTGAATGTTGTGACCCAATGACTTTCCCTTTGCAATTCTGCAGCCAGGAGATGTATTCTTCCCCTCTAATTTTTGCAGAATTGTTACTTCCTTCTTTTTCACCAGACCAGAAGTAATGAGAACTTGTTTTTTTTAAAAGAACAGATGATATTTATAGGGTCCGTATCTACTACTTAATGAACAATAATAAAAGGTGACCATCAGAGAACCAACCTAGGGCTCTCTCTGATGTACAACCTGAGTAAAGTGCAAAAGGGAGCCTGATTTCAATCCACAGTGTAAGGCTTCCAGAGCAGCTGTCTTTCCCTTCAACTTTAGTGGGCACCTAACGGTTGTGCCATCTTGACTGCAAAAGAATCACATGCTGCTGCAAAATGCCACTTTAGTGTCATGCCTCTGATCAGCCCTACAGAGGGATCCTCATTCCACTTCCATCCTAAATGCCATTGTGGTCCCTGGCTGACCTGGGGGTAGGGGAGCCCCAGGACCATTCCTGCCCCACTCCAGCCAGGGGTTTCGGGGAGCAGCTCTATGGGGTGCCAGGGTCAACCAGGGACAGCAGCAGCAGGCAGGTCCTCCCTGCCAGTGCCTGCTCCCTGCCTGGTCTGCATGGGTGTCCCTTGGTGGTCTTGACCAGGCACCAGAAGAGACGAGGAGGACTGCATGCTGCCGCCATCCCCGGTCAACACCCAACACCTTGTGTTGCTGCTCCCCGTGGGTGGAGCATCTGGGCAGCAGGGAACAGCCAACGGAGGAGGCAGAGAGCAAGGAGCAGCCCTGGGCTTCCTCTACCCCTAGGTCAACCAGGGACAGCAGTGGCAGTAGGCAGATCCCCTGGTCTGGGTGTCCCAAACCAGCTCAGGGCTCCAGTTGTTCCTCAGACTTTGAAGGGGAGCCAGGAGGCGGGGGTTACAAGAAACTGGAGCTGCTAGCACATGAGTTACACTGCCACCCACTCCCCGAATCCACCCCTGCTGCTCAGCAATAAAAGAAATCCAGTTCAGTCCTTCTTAGTTAGCAGAAAAGAGGATGGGACCCAAGGCCTTGAATGAAAAGCACAAAGAGGCTTCTCTGAGGGCTGCAGGGGATCCTTTCCCATGCTGCAATTAAACACGGATCCCTAGACATTTTCAAGAGCAGGTTGAACAGGCACTTGGCTGGGATGGGTTAGTCAGGGATGATCCTGCCTTGAGCAGGGGACTGGACTAGGTGACATTGTGAGGTCCCCTCCAGCTCTACTTTCCTAGCATCCTATGTTATACTGAAACATAAAGCATTTTGTCACAGAGAATCACCATCAGCTAATCAACCCAGGCTAGATCATCTGAATTAATGCATCATATTCATTCTCTAATGACAAGGGTAGAACTAAGGCATTTGTTTGTAGATCACGAACTCTACTGGTGTTCAGTCTTCATTAATCTCTCTCCGAGATGTACGCTATTACGGTATGCACAACTTAGGAATTTTTGGCATTCAAAAAATACTCTAACACCAGAAGAGTTGTGCACACCCTGAGAAAGAATACAGCTGTCGAGTCAAACTCACCTAAATGCAATTTTCTTGATTTTCTCTTTGACTCCTTGTTTGGTTAAGTATGAATCCAAGGGAAATTCTAGCCAAGGAGTGGAGCTAAACTGCATTACTCCCACACGGACCTGAAAAGTGTTAAACAACATAAAGAAGAGGTGTTCAATAAGGTTTTATAGATTCATAGATCACTATTATTTTGATTAAGCTACAGATTGGGAACACTGAAATGTGAGAGAGCAGAGAATGCACCAAGCACGACTGATCCAAACAGCAAGACCACAGGAGGCTTCAGGGAGTAGATGAGGCCGGAGGAGATGCATACCAGTCAACAGTGGAAACATAAACCTGGGGGTCTACAAAGGTCTTCCATGTGTATATGGCAGTGTAGAGAGTTACCATTGCAAATTCAACTTGAGTTTCCACGGAAAAACTTTTCCGGTCGTCAAACCCTATAAATTAGACCTCGATTTAAGCCAAGATGCAAAATGAGAAAGAACAGCAAGGAGGGGCTAAGCTCTCCACCCTCTCTTCTCATTTATTTTAGTTCATTTTAAAACAGATCCCTCTAAATACTAAATACTTGGCCTCTGATCAAAGCGCCTTGCCCAGACAGCTGTATGCTATCCCTGCAGAACATCAGCTATTACAGCTTGCTGTCCTGCTGCTCTTCCTATTCAGTAGCGCGAGTCCTAGTGCAGATGGACCGTGACTGCATTTTGAAGGGAGAAAGTCTCTGGTACCTTGTTGAGGACTCCATGGAGGGCAAAGGAGCTGATGTGACCACCACGTCATAATTGTTCATATAAAATCACACAGAGGCAGGACAGCGCTTGGGAACTGCCCCTCACTTTTAGTTTTGTAGGTGCATGAACAGTTCAGCGATGAGTGAAATCTGCAAACCAACATGCTCACCACCACACTCACCCTATCTGGGTTGATGTCCAGGGCATCGCAGAGTTTGCTTGCAAAGTGCTTAGACCTTTCGAAGCTGCCTTTGCCGATGCTATAGGACCCATCTAACAGGAACAGGATATCTACTGAAGCGGAGCACTGCATCACTAGGGGAGAACAAGACATGTGCCATCAGGAGGTCCATTTACATGCGAGTCACAGGTCACCACAGTTTTCAGTGAGCCAGATTTGATAGCAAAAAGAGAACTTCACATCACATCAACTTGTCACTCTCTCCTCTCTTCCTCGGTAGCAGAACCAAGAATTGCACACAAGTGGGATGTCTGATGCATTATCCTAGGGCCAACCTCAGAGGTCTCTCACAGAGACACCTTTCTGGTCTGGCTATCTTGCACTAGGAAATGACATCACCTTTACCGTGGGTTTCAAAAATCTGGACTGTATTTGCAAGAGCAAAAAAACCACTTTAATTAATATATTCAATCATTCTATTAAATACAGAGGCAGCTGACCTAATTGCGTGCTAAGGATGCAGGAAGAAGCAGAGGAGTCTGTGTAGCAGGGACGGATCACGTGAGGACTCAGAAGACTTGTGTCATAGTCTCTCACCGTCTCTGCATGCAATGTGGAGTAGTAGGAGTTTGTGTAGTGACCATTTGAATGAGATACATTTCATCTGGGAAGAAAGAAGTCAGCCCATTTTTTCCCCAAATCACACTATTTTTTTTAAATACACAGAGTCCTATCAGTTGTGAAGAGGTGGCAGACATGGCTTTCACAAAGCCATTTCTTCAGGTTGCACTGAAATAGTGTCGTGGTGCACATATATATATGTCCACTCGGCAATCGCTACCTATTGCCAGCAGCCTCGATGAGTTGGAAGCCAATGTTTTCCATGGAGGAATTAAAGCGAGGTCATTTCTTTAGTCTCTGCAAAGACACTCAAAACAAAATGAATCCCAGTCATTTGGAAAAAGAGAAAGAGGAATCACCCTCAAACTTGCCAGGACAGGCACAAGTTCATGAAAGTGTTGGCAGCCTGGCAGAAGCATGACGCTCAGGTCACTACCTCTCTCAAACTAGAGAGCAGAAGGTCACAATGCTGTGGATGTTCAGTAGTTCAGACAGCAAAGCTTCACGCCGCTGCATAGGGTTTGGAAGCGATCTTTGAAATCTCACTGCTTCAACCCGGGGGACAGGGCTGTCAGCAAACAGCAACTCCTCAGAACAAAGAAACTGGATGCAAAACCAATAGAAACCTCCTGCCTTTGCTCATGCTTCTACCCTGTAAAACCTCCAAGCACTGAAACAGGGCCTTGGCATAAGCAACTGCTATGAAGTTTAGAGAGAAGTTAGTATTGCCTACCATGCTAAGCAGTGGAAGGCAGCCTTAATAATAACAATACTTTTCTGCCCTTTGGTTTATGAGGATTAGAATTACTGCTGTGTAACACTGAACAAAATTCAGCAGCAGAGCCAGGAACAGGATGCTGAAGTCCTGACTCTTGGCCCTCTGCAGCCCTCACTGGTGAAGCAGTTGCTAACTTCACTGAGTGCCACTCCAATCTCCTCCTCCGCCTCATGTGCTGTTCTGCTTTCTGCTCCCTGCCCTATCTGCTGCTCTCCTTTCTACTGCTGGCTCTGTTCTTGGCTGATCTGTTGCTCTGCTTTCTGCTCCCTGCCCCATCTGCTGCTCTGCTGCCTCTCCCCTTCACCTGCCGCACCAAGAGGTTACCTGTGCTGCACAAAACAGGGGTGGCCAGCCTGTCACACATGTATGCAACATTGTCCTACATCGGTGGGGATGCTTGGTCCTCTGTCACAATCCATCATGTCAGTGAAATGCTCAGAGCAATTCAGCAGTTTCAGTTACGCCACAGAGTTTGATAAGCGCAATTTCAAGGGAAATTGAGTTGCCCTCCCCGAGTCCAGATGAGACGACCGGCAGTGATGAGAAGATGAGATGGAAAGGACGCTTCAACTAGCACTGCAGTTCTTCCGAATGTCTCTCTTCCCCCTCCAGCACATCTCCCAGACACTTTTATCGCCATAATTGTTTTCCAGATCCACTCCTCATAGTGAGAAGTGAGTTTATAATGAGGATTTTCGAATGCCAGATTATAAGGGATTGCAAGTTTTAACGCATTCCTTTCTGGGTCACTGGGCCGTGCCAGACAGTAACCTCATTCACTCAGGAGCCCTTTTCTTTGCAAGCCCATTCCCACCCTTGACAAGTGCTCAGAAGCAGAGCAGGGCTGTTTCAGGGTCTCCTAACTAGAGCAGCTTTGCCTTGGGGTTTAAAATGAAACCAGTGGGACAGAACGCCGAGCTTCACCCGTCACACTGCCTCCGTGCAAATAGCCACAGGCTCAACTCCTAATGCTCTGCCCCATCACAAAGCGGGGTCAGCAATAAGTTTGATCTCCGTCCTCACTATCATCGCCCTTCCAGGGGATGTGAACGTAACCAAACCACGTCTTCCTCTCGTGACACTTACATGATCCCCCATCGCCATCAGCTTGCAAAGAAGGAGCTGATTCTTACAATATTTCTCCATGTTAGGAGCTTACCACCCTTTCACAAATGGAGAACTGAGTCACATACGTTAAGGGCATGGACAAGCAAACAAATTACAGCAGGTTAAGAGGTGGGACTTACCAGGGGTCGGCTGCTCCATAGTCCATGAGCCCACCGTTACCCTGCGGTAAGTGAAAGCTAAACTGGAGTAGGTCATCCCCCGCCAGGAAACAGAGCTAAGATACTCCATTTTAGTTTCCACTAATCATGAACGAAGGTCAAGCAGACAGCAAGAGGAGCGGCTGATGCATAAGTCCCTTCCCACTCTTATGTGTTTGCTAATGTGTTTGTCCGTACAACAACTAACGAACCTGGTAAAAGAAAGCTGAATTGGTCTCTGACCTTTCAGATCAGTTGTGCGTTAGCAACAAGGCTGCTCTGGTTTCAGACGATCCCGTTAGTCCTTTTGTAAAACATATGCATAATGTTTGAGCGAGGAACAAGATTTTGAGAGGCTGAAACTATCAAACTTGTTTTAGGGACGGGAATTGAAGCAGGAAGGCAGGCATGGCAGAAAAGATGTCGAATGAAACAAATACGCCTTGAGCAGGGAACGTGATGTAGGGTCAGGGGGCACGTTAGCGGGAGAGGAAAGGAATAAAGAGAGCAAGGAGAATGGGAGGGTAAATAGAGAGATGCAGACAGCAGAGCTGAGCAAAGACTTGGCGGGGGTTAACTTTTGGTTTAGGAAAAACAAACTTACATTGACCAGCTGCTGAAATCTTGACAATGGTTTCTTGGTTGGCATGAAGTTCTTGTATACCCTGTACCAGCAGCCCTGTGGGATCAAACAGTTATTAACCCATCACTCTCACCTCCGCAAACCATTTGTTCATACTAACTACCGAGATGCAATTAAAACACAGCTATGACCAGGGAAAAATTTATGAGGACAATGCTCTCTGAGGTTAACTCAACTCTATCAAACATGACAAATTTACAACTTGCGTATTTCCTAACTGCTAGTGCTGCAAGCACATTGGTCGCTGGAAAAAAAGAAAAGAAAAGAAAAGAAAAAGTAAAGAATAAAGCAGCATTTTACCTCTCATACCTCAACAGTGAAGATGCTATGAAGATGCATCATGCAATATAGGAGAAGATGCCAAGATCCGACTGGCTTCCCTCACCTGAAAATGCTGACAAACTTCACACCCACAAGAAGAGGAAAGATGAGAGAGGAGCTGATGACTTTCAGGACTCATTTTATGTCAAAGATCTGTAATAGCCTCTATGAAGAGGGGAGGTATGTACATACGAGTGTGACCAGGGAGGTTGGCTCAGGTCTCAGATGAAGATTTGGCACCAGGTCTCAAAACAGTGCAACAGATGAGAGGCCTGAGCCTTGGACTGTGTCCTACAATCCCAGAGTAGAAATGGCAAATGGATTTTATTGACTCCCAATTGGCTTGGAAGCACTAGGAAGCAATAGGTTTTACTTGCATCAGACTGGTACGTGGCAATGCAACCGGGCCAAGTTTTAACATACACCATTTATAGATAAATGCTGCAGATCTGTGATATTTTGAACAGGTTTTTAAACCACTTTTTCAATCACTGCTTAATAGCAAAAGCCCTAGTGTAGACATGGCTATACACGCAAAACTGAGCTTCTGCTGGTATAGCTGATTTTGCCCAAGTGGCATTTAGCCCATAGCTGCAAAGTGCATTTTTGCCAAGATACATTTCTTCCATGCTAGAAGCTAGGCCAGCACAGTACTAGTATAGATAGGCCAGTAAAGTATTTTTAGTGTGGATAAACCTATAGAGAATGGTGTGCTGTTACATTACTAATCCAAAGGATGGAGCAACCTCTCCATTCACTGTGCTCACAGACCATTTATACACATATCTTTCTGGCCTGCAACATGCTGGAGATCCAGCGGGTCGGAGCAGACTCAATTAGTCGAGTCTGCTCCGCACGCGAGCTGATGTGCACTGTGCAGTTGTGCAAGTGGTGAAATGCACGTCAGCATGCAGAAAATGGTGGCGGTGCACTTTTGAAGTGAAGTGAAACACCTCCGATGCGTTTTAGTTCAAAAGCGTGCCACTGCCATTTTCTCAGCGCCGATGCACATTTCACCGCTTATACAACTGCATGCACTGCAGCGCTGGGTGCTTTTAAAAGCGCCCAGCACTGCGGCGCCAACATGTGTACAAATGCCCACAGGGTTGGATCTGGAACAAGAATTGGTCAAAAGATTTTTTCCAACAAAAATATGAATACCCAACATTTCTGCCAAAAATTAGATGGGTTTTGAATCAAAATCTTTTTTTTAGAAAAAAAAAAATGCCCGGACCTCAAGTTTAAAAAAAGAAAATGAAATTTACTACTGAAAACAAAAATTTTGGGGGGGGGGGGAGGAAGTTTCTCCCAATAAAAGATTTTCAGTAGAAACATTTCAACCCAGTCTCTCTAGTCCATAGCATACTTCTTTTACTCCAATCTTGCGGTTATTTTAAATCTGTAGACTTGAAAAGTGGCAATAAAGTGAAATGAAATCTTGCAATAACTGTAAAAGCACTTGCTGTGTCTCCAGCACATGAAAGCAGAGTCTAATTTGCTATTCCAGCTGAGCGGCCCTCCTAGAGCTGCTGAAGACTGTATGCAGCTGTAGAAACTGCTCTGCCGGACTCGGTCACACCAGGCACGCTCTGTGGCTCGACTCAGGAACAGTCATGTCCGTGTAGCTTCAGAGAGATTTTTGGCAGATTCTGATTATCACTCCTTCACAGCTTTCTCTCACCTTGGATTGCCGTGTGGAAGAAAGCCTTCTTCCTTTTTATGCATGGAAGTTGCAAAGCATCACCAGAAAGTGACTTGTTTTACAAGAAAAAAAAAAATACTAATTAACAGGCAAGAGGACCGGGAAAGCTATGAAAAGAAAACTCCACCCAGCCCCACCACGGAAAAGGATTCAGAAAGTCAAAAGCACTTCTCACCAGGGCCAAACTGGGACCTGCACTTAAATAATAAATGCTATAATGAAAATTGGCATTTCTTAGACTCCTGCTGGGGCAGCCATATTGCAGAGGTGACATTTGGACATTTCACAGCATGGGGGACTTACTGTCTGCTAGCAACTGTAAAGCTGCCAGTGGCCTGCCCTTGCTTCAAGTTATAATACTTAAATGTTTTCTTCAGTAGTATTTAGAGGCATCGGGACTGCAAATGCCTTCGGTAGTGCTGTAGTTTGACTCTGGGGCCAGATCCTATCTGATGTAAACCAATGTTTACCTGTTCAGCC